GAAGTGCATCACTGTCTTTCTTGTGCTGTCGCTGGTCTTTCTCATGCCTGACCCCGGGGAGTGTTTTTTGCATCAAATTATCGGAGGACTTTTTAGCCGTAAGCAATGATACTTTTTATTATTATTCTTTTTCACATTTTGGACATTTCGTACCATGAATTGCACTGGTGTGATCTATCCTATCAAATGTAACACTTTTTGTTTAATATTGAAAATAACTTTCTAAAATGACAATGTGAACAAAAAACATGCCTTATGTCTTATGGTTTATTGCACTGTATGATTATGGTGATTAAAAGCGCTTATTATTCATAACAATAGAAGTAGTTAGCATTATAAGTGTCATTAACTATTTTCTCTTTTCTCTTTTATTTAGTTGGGCATCACGTCCATAGGTAAGGGTTTGCACTAGGGCTGCACGGTATGGCCAAAAATCCATATCACGGTATTAAGAAAGTTTCTGACGGTATCCCGGTATGTGACATACCGGGATACCGTTAATTCATTAACCCCGAAAAGGACCGCGGCAACCCGTTAACAGTTTGCCGCTTGCTGGCCAACTTGCTGCAACTGGCCGGCGAGTCAGCTCGTTACCGTGTTAGCTTGTTGTGGCTGCTAGTGTTGCCACCAGAGGATCGACAGACTTCGTTCGTTTTCTGATCTAACGTAACTTACGTCGGATTTTCCAAAACCAAGAACCTTCCAAACAGTCAATAGCTCCTCTCTTGGGCACACGTTGTGTTAGTGCATCTCTGGTCTCTCGGTGTTTCTCCTGTATCGCTCTTTTCTGTGTTTTCATGTAGCAACAGTTACTTCTTGTTGTGAGCTGTACCCAGCATGCAACTCATGCAGCATGCGATTTTTAAAAATGTACAATTATTAGCTTGTTGTGTCGTGGCGTTTTACCCTGTTAGTGAGTGTTTGTTGTGGGTTATTCATAGTCGGTAAGTTATAACCATGACTCAATCTCAACACAAAACAACTAGCTCCAAACACTTATGGCGTAACACCAGTAGGCAATGGACAATATGGAAATCTTATACCAGTACCTATACCATTTGAACCGGTATACCGTTCAGCCCTAGCTTGCACAAATTTATAACTTCATAACTCTTTTTTGTTGTAACTTTGTTGAGCTAAACTCTCTGAATCCTCTCCCTACCCATCAGTCTCCTTAGCGGAGCACGTCAAGAAGCGAAGATGGAGCAGCGAGAGCTGGAACGTACTTTCGACCGAGAGCAAGCTTTTACCTGAGTCTATGCTGAGACATCTGAAAGAGCTACCTTGTCTAAAGAGAAATGCTTCTTCCTCTTTATCATGACATTTCAATAAATATGCAACATTTATTTGTCCCTTGCATTATTTAAATGAACAAACGAAAGAAATGAAAATGAAAATGATGTGAACTGTGTGTAATGATCTAACAGTCAAAAGACCATATCATTACTGTATTTGAAATCATGGAATTCATACAGTCGGCACAGATCCATGATCAGTAACATCGATCCAGCAGTTCTCCAGCAGCCTGTAGTGCTTCTTTCATTTTTGTGGAAGGCTGCAGGGGTTGTACATTGCTCGCAACGTGCATAATTGCAGCTGATTCTTGTTTATTGCATTGTTTTAAAGTTGTATCACTATGTAAACAACTTTGAACTGCACTTGTAAGAAACTACAACTTGAACTACCAGCAGTGGCGGCTGGTCCATAGAGGACCATGGGGCGTGGCCCCACCTTGAGCCACAAAAAATAAAAAAAGATTATGATTTTTTTTAATTATTTTAACAATACATTTTATAAATAGTCAATATTTGTGTATTTGTGTTTTTGAAACATTGAATATTCAAAGTAATATTTGTAAAGATATCTGTGCAAAAAGTCTTCACACAATAAATTGTATTGGATAAAATGTGTCTGTTTTCATCCACGTCCTGGTTGTGTGTCCTCACCGCAGTCTTGTGTACGTTGGAGCTTGGCAGCGATGTTAACTTTAACACAGCGATGTCATGCGCGCAGTGTGCATATATATGGCGTTAGCATGTAGCTAGTTAGCTACATACAAGTCTCTACAGACGCGTCATTTATGCGGCTTCCCTTTCACGCTGGTCAGTTGTCTGATTGTGAAGCCAGGCTGATCTGGGTCCAGCTGTTTTACCTCTAGTTTCTACTGCTCCGGTTCTTCTCTCGTACTGAGTTCGGGTCGGGTCTTCTTGGAAGGACACTGGCGTGTCACTCATTAACTTTGTCAATGATTGGCTAAACTGCTTTGGGATACGGCCCGAGCCCAGCTGAGACATGTGGAGAAGACGTGCAGGAGAAGCATACATTTTGCGCAGATATCATTCACAAATATTACCAGGTATATAATCCATGTTTGAAAAACAAAAATATCAACTATTTGTCAAATGGATTTTTGATATAATAAACAATATAATCGCTCGTGGTGGGGCCATGCCCCATTGTTCTCTATGGACCAGGCACCACTGGTGCTAAAATACATTCAGCGTTGGGCCAGCCCTTCGCTGCCCCAACAGACTGGCGTGAAAGTGAAGCTACACATATAAAGCTTCTGTAGAGATGCTACACCGGGAGGTTCCCATGCTCACTTTTTAAATCAACAGGGACAGTATTTAGCATGTAAAGATACCTGGGTAAGAGACATGAAGGACTTGTCGGAAAAAAAATAAAAAGTATAGAGAACACCGGAAACACACGGATAACGCCACTACCGTAAAATCTTGTTTAGAGGCCCACCGTGAAATAATGTGTGGGCTGCTTGATTGTGTTTGGAAGTGGAGGCTGGTTGACTGCAGTGATAAACTCTGTCAGGCCCTCGTGTTAAAGTTAACATCGCTACCCAGCTGCGGTGAGGACACACAACCAGGACGTGGATGAAAACAGCCACATTTTATCCAAAATAATACATTGTGTGATGTTTTGTGGGCCTTTCGAGTTGGTCTTTCATCAAACCACTGAGCTGTATAGCGCTTTTCTAGTCTTCTGACCACTCAAAGCGCTTTAACACTACATAACATCATTCACCCATTCACACCCATTCATACACTGATAACAGGAGCTACCATACATAGTGCCACCTGCCCATCAGTAATTAGGTTCATAGGGGCATCTCAATATATATTCATGTTCTATTAGATTTTCTATATAAATCTTTTCATATTGTAATATGTTTATCCTTATTTTATGATATTCATGATATTTATATTGTATATTTATAATAGTTACAAAATGTTAGTTATATTATTTACTCAATATTGTTTTATATATATACTGAATTGTGTGAATAAGATGTTCTTATTATGTTAAACTGTTGTAAACATTGGCGTGCATCTCTGTGAGACTCGCTGAGGACAGTAACTGCAGAACTATACTTGCTTTCACGTCAGACACCACAAAAGTCTCCAATAAAACCAGAAGAGGTTTCTGACTTTGTCGCTAGTCGCCTTTGACAGAAAGTCACCCTGAGGGTTTGGAAAGTCACTGTACCAAACTGTGAAGGAGCCTGCGTATGCGAATATCTTATGTCATAATTTGGACTTCATATCTCAAAATGTCTAATTTCCAACCTTTTATTTTTGTTTTTTAATGGCAGAAATGGGCTTCCATACATTTATTTGTATTTGTTTTGATTAGATTAGGATAAATTGGCTTTATAGCTGGACAGCAAACAATTTATTAAACACTCGCAAAAAGATTCACACCAAAGAGTCAATGATAATTTGTGAATGGTTTTGAGTGAGCTGTATTTTGACATTTTGACGACAGTCCATTAGAGAGGGGCCTGCCTGACACCACAAATGACGTGAATAATCTGAATAGCGCAAATACGCAAAAACTGCACCCTTTCTGAATTGAAAACTGTGAACTCAGTGGGGTGAGGTCAATTTTACTTTTGCTGTTTTTGCAAAAACCTATCAGTGTTTTTAACAAGTTCTCCTGTAATTATTAAGATCCTCAGAAATCGAGTGACAAATATTCTAGCTATCTTTGTTATGCTGTTGTTAGCTATACGCAGTACTGGGACGGGTGGACGATACTTACCAGTACACAGTACCAGCACCTCTACATTTTAGTCTTAAGCGTACCGGCACTTTTTCTTGCGTACCGTGACTTCTTGCGTGTAGACGGTGTGACACACACAGACACACACACTAGGGTACCGGCACCTTTTTTTTCCATTTCAAGCACTGGCTATACAACAATAACTTAGGTACAACTCAAAAGTACATTGTTTGGATGTTTGTAGTTCATTCATATGGTAGAAACAATAATGGCGCTGCCGTGTGGATGCAAACAAAACAAATCCAGACTTTTTTCATACAATAGTTTTTGGCCTTCCTTGTATGACTTTGTGCTATCAATTGAAAGCAAAATGTTTTAATTTGGGTTCATATAGTTAAACCAGCCTACGTGTGGCGACAAATATCTCAATAAAATTCCACGGGCAGCTCCGAATGATGTCATGACCCGACACCAGCAAGGGTTTACTTTCCCTGCAAATCAGTGTGTTCCATAAACCATGTGCAATTCAGAAATAGTGGCTATTTGTTCCATGGTTGTTGGTGTAAATAAATGGCTTGTTGATAAAAGTATCGATTGAGATAAGCTACTCCTCCTCTCCGGTGCAAATCAAGTAAATAAAAACTACTGATCCCGTCAACATCTCCCACAGTAACCAAAAGGGGAAATTCGCTTTGTATTTGGTTTGAACACAGAATAAACCTGGAGAGAAACAATAAATGTACTTAATGTGATGATTTATGCATCCCTGCCTTCCAACAAAAGAACTTGAAGGATTTAATTAATTGAAGAGCACCTTGAAACACAGTTGAATTTCAATACCCCGTCAACAATCTTTATTGTACAAACGAAACTCAATCATAGCTAAATTTAGAATGCAAGAATATTTAAAGAAAAGTTTTCTTTAGGATGTCTGTGACACTGCCATGAGAAAGGTGAGCTTCCTGTTTTTCACACCTCATGAATAATGAGTAAGTGGATTTGTTGCTGGATATAAAGAGACGTGACCTACAGACATTCACAACCTGTGGATCTCACACTGATCTATTGCCACATTTTGATAACAGCTTATTTACTTGTTTCTGAGGAGAAAGTGAGTTTTTCATCTTTCTTTGCTCAATCCGACAACACTGACACTTTGTAAAGTGCATGACACAAGCAGGCTAAATGTTTGTGATGTATTTGGTCCTTGTTTTTCAGATGAAGTGCATCACTGTCTTTCTTGTGCTGTCGCTGGTCATTCTCATGGCTGAACCTGGGGAGTGTTTTTTCCATCACATTCTTGGAGGACTTCTTAGCGGTAAGCAATGATACTTTCTATTACTATGCTTATTCACATTTTGGACATTTCGTACCATGAATTGCACTGGTCTGATTTATGGTCTGGTCTGATTCATCCATGACTTGAATGTAACACTTTTTGTTTAATATAGAAAATAACTTTCTATAACGACAATGTGAACAAAAAAACATGACTTATAATCGGTTTATAGCACTATATGATCATAGGGATAAAAAGTGCTTATTATGCATAACAGTGGTTAGGAAATAGTTAATGACATATTTTGTGATATGAATAATGTAATTTTCTCTTTTCTATTTTATTTAGTCGGGCATCACATCCATAGGTAAGGGCTTCCATAATTTAACAATTTCTCTTGTTCCATTTGTTGTAACTTTGTTGAACTAAACTCTCTGAATTCTCTCTCCACCCATTAGTCTCATTCGTGGAGCACGTCAAGAAGCGAAGATGGAGCAGCGAGAGCTGGAACGTACTTTCGACCGAGAGCAAGCTTTTAACTGAGTCTATGCTGAGACATCTGAAAGAGCTACCTTGTCTAAAGAGAAATGCTTCTTCCTCTTTATCATGACATTTCAATAAAATCCTTGAGCTTTATTACGCAACATATATTTCTCTTTTTTAAACGACCACATTAAATAAATTAAAATGGAAATGATGTGAACTGTATAATGATGTGACAGTCAAGAGACCACATCATTTCCGTAGTTAAAATTATGGAATTCTCACATTCGGCGCAGATCTGTGATCAGTAACTTCGGTCCAGCAGTGCTCCAGCAGCCTGTAGTGCTCCTTTCATTTGTGTGTAATGCTGCAGGGGTTGTACATTGCTCACAACGTGCAAAATTGCAGCTGATTCTTGTTTATTGCATTCTTTTAGAGTTGTATCACTATGTAAACAACTTTGAACTGCACTTGTAAGAAACTACAACTTATACTTGAGCGAGAGTAGTTAGTATAGTTTAGTATCAAGGACAAAAACCCTCAAATACAAGTTGTTGTCAGCCTTTCTTGTATGATCTTTGCAACCAGGAGTGGCAGCTGGTCCATAGAGGACAATGGGGTGGGGCCCCACCTTGAATAAAATGTTAAATATGCAAACCAGTACATTGGCGTGCATCTCTGTGAGACTCGCTGAGGACAGTAACTGCAGAACTATACTTGCTTTCACGTCAGACACCACAAAAGTCTCCAATAAAACCAGAAGAGGTTTCTGGATTTGTCGCTAGTCGCCTTTAACAGAAAGTCACCAAGAAGGTTTCGGAAAGTCACTCTACCGAACTATGAAGGAGCCTGCTTATGCGAATATCTTGTCACATAATTTGGACTTCCTATTCCAAAATGTCTCATTTCTAACCTTTTATTTTCGTTTTTTAATGGCAGAAATGGGCTTCCATACATTTATTTCTATTTGTTTTGATTAGATTTGTGTAAATTGGCTTTACAGCTGGACAGCCATCAATTTATCAAACGCCCTCACAAAAAGATTGTGAATGCTTGTGATTGGATTTCAAATTCCATTGTGAATCTGTGAAGAAATGGGATAGTATTCGAAATAACCTGAAACTACTTTTCTTTTCAGCCATTACATGTGTTGCACAATAGTTGAGATTACAGGAAGCTGACTGCTTAAACTCCATCTAAGGCAGCTCGGTCGACGGTTAGGAAACCATATAGTGGGTGTGGTTTGCAGAGGTATATCGGGGTTTTGGCCGCCTTCGCAACCAATCCCTGAACAGGATGTATTGCTGAGGACGTATGACAGGTGGAAGGAAGACGTGGGACGTGCGAAACAATCAGGACTTCAATACCAGTATACGGGCAAAAGAAATCACCAGACCTCTAGTGGGATTCACTTTACAGCAAACTGGTTTCTGTCTGTTGGGTGGAAAATATTTGGATTCTATCCAATCAAATATTATTTATGTGATTCAATTAGTGACTTCACTCAGTTTTGTTACAAAAAACATCTTTCGATTTTAATTGAACCATCCATTGAGCTGTATTTTTACATTTTGATGATGGACCGTCAGAGAGGGGCCTGCCTTACACCATAAAAGACGTGAATAATCTGAATAACGTAAATACAAAAAAGTGCACCATTTCTAGGTTAAAAAGTTTGAACTTACTTGAGTGAGGAGAATTTTACTTTTTCTTTTTTGCAAAAGCCTATCAGTGTTAAAACATATCCTGTCATCAATAACATCCTGACATTGTTAAATCAGAAATAAAATGAAAAATATTTGTCTTTGGTCAGCGGGAACTATACGCAGTGCTCAAAGTAAGCCGGTACTCACCGGTACGCCGTACCGGCACCTCTACATTTTACACTTAAAGGTGTGACACACACCCACACACACACACACACACACACTAGGGTACTGGCACCTTTTTTTCCACTTCAAGCACTGGCTATACAACAATAACTTATATTAGGAGAGGTACCACTCAAAAGTACATTGTATGGATGTTTGTATTTAATTCATATGGTAAAAACAATAATGACGCTGATGTGTTGATGCAAATAAAACCAATTCAGACTTTTTTCACGTAGTTATTTTTGGCATCCCTTTTATCACTTTGTGCAATCAAATGAGAGCAAAATGTTTTAATCTGGGTTCATACTGTTAAACCAGCCTATATGTGGCGACAAATATCTCAATAAAATTATTGTACAGGCGAAACTCCATCGTAGCTAAATTAAAATATAAGAATATTTAAAGAAAAGGTTTCTTTAGATTCAGGATGTCTGTGACACTGCCATGAGAAGCGTGAGCTTCCTGTTTTTCACACCTCATGAATAATGAGTAAGTGCATTTGTTGCTGGCTATAAAGAGACGTGACCTACAGACATTCACAACCTGTGGATCTCACACTGTTCTATTGCCACATTTTGATAACAGCTTATTTATTTTTTTATGAGGAGAAAGTGAGTTTTTCATCTTTCTTTGCTCAATCAGTGCATGACACAAGCAGGCTAAATGTTTGGAATTTATTTGGTTCTTGTTTTTCAGATGAAGTGCATCACTGTCTTTCTTGTGCTGTCGCTGGTCATTCTCATGGCTGAACCTGGGGAGTGTTTTTTCCATCACATTCTTGGAGGACTTCTTAGCGGTAAGCAATGATACTTTCCATTACTATGCTTATTCACATTTTGGACATTTCGTACCATGAATTGCACTGGTCTGATTTATGGTCTGCTCTGATTCATCCATGACTTCAATGTAACACTTTTTGTTTAATATAGAAAATAACTTTCTAAAACGACAATGTGAACAAAAAAACATGACTTATAATCGGTTTATAGCACTATATGATCATAGTGATAAAAAGTGCTTATTATGCATAACAGTAGTTAGCAAAATAGTTAATGACATATTTTGTGATATGAATAATGTAATTTTCTCTTTTCTATTTTATTCAGTCGGGCATCACATCCATAGGTAAGGGCTTCCATAATTGAACAACTTCTCTTGTTCCATTTCTTGTAACGAATGTCAACTTTGTTGAGCTAAACTCTCTGAATCCTCTCTCCACCACCACCATCAGACTCATTGGCGGAGCGCGTCAAGAAGCGATGATGGAGCAGCAGGAGCTGGAACGTACTTTCGACCGAGAGCAAGCTTTTAACTGAGTCTATGCTGAGACATCTTAAAGAGCTACCTTGTCTAAAGAGAAATGCTTCTTCCTCTTTATCATGACATTTCAATAAAATCCTTGAGCTTTATTACGCAACATATATTTGTCTCTTGCATTTTTTAAACGACCACATTAAATAAATTAAAATGGAAATGATGTGAACTGTATAATGATGTGACAGTCAAGAGACCACATCATTACCGTAGTTAAAATTATGGAATTCACACAATCGGTGCAGATCTGTGATCAGTAACTTCGGTCCAGCAGTGCTCCAGCAGCCTGTAGTGCTCCTTTCATTTGTGTGTAATGCTGCAGGGGTTGTACATTGCTCGCAACGTGCAAAATTGCAGCTGATTCTTGTTAATTGCATTTTTTTGTCGAGTTGTATCACTATGTAAACGACTTTGAACTGCACTTGTAAGAAACTACAACTTATACTTGAGCAAGAGTAGTTAGTATAGAGAATTTTACTTTTTCTTTTTTGCAAAAGCCTATCAGTGTTAAAACTTATCCTGTCAATAATAACATCCTGACATTGTTAAATCAGAAATAAAATGAAAAATATTTGTCTTTGGTCAGCGGGAACTATACGCAGTGCTCAAAGTAAGCCGGTACTCACCGGTACGCCGTACCGGCACCTCTACATTTTACACTTAAGGGTGTGACACACACCCACACACACATACACACGCACACACACACACACACACTAGGGTACTGGCACCTTTTTTTCCACTTCAAGCACTGGCTATACAACAATAACTTATATTAGGAGAGGTACCACTCAAAAGTACGTTGTATGGATAAATAAAACCAATTCAGACTTTTTTCACGTAGTTATTTTTGGCATCCCTTTTATCGCTTTGTGCAATCAAATGAGAGCAAAATGTTTTAATCTGGGTTCATACTGTTAAACCAGCCTATATGTGGCGACAAATATCTCAATAAAATTATTGTACAGGCGAAACTCCATCGTAGCTAAATTAAAATATAAGAATATTTAAAGAAAAGGTTTCTTTAGATTCAGGATGTCTGTGACACTGCCATGAGAAGCGTGAGCTTCCTGTTTTTCACACCTCATGAATAATGAGTAAGTGCATTTGTTGCTGGCTATAAAGAGACGTGACCTACAGACATTCACAACCTGTGGATCTCACACTGTTCTATTGCCACATTTTGATAACAGCTTATTTATTTTTTTATGAGGAGAAAAGTGAGTTTTTCATCTTTCTTTGCTCAATCAGTGCATGACACAAGCAGGCTAAATGTTTGGGATTTATTTGGTTCTTGTTTTTCAGATGAAGTGCATCACTGTCTTTCTTGTGCTGTCGCTGGTCATTCTCATGGCTGAACCCGGGGAGTGTTTTTTCCATCACATTATTGGAGGACTTTTTAGCAGTAAGCAGTGATACTTTTCATTATTATTCTTTTTCACGTAAGATCAAATTTAACTTAACAATGTTTTGCCTAATATAGAAAATAACTTTCTAAAACGAAAAACATGCCATATAATCTGTTTGATGTATGATCATAATGATAAAAAGTGCTTATTATTCATAACAATAGTAGTAGTTAGCAAATAGCTAATGACACTTTATAATGACATATTTTGTGATATAAATAATGCGATTTTCTCTTTTCTGTTTTATTTAGTCGGGCATCACATCCATAGGTAAGGGCTTCCATAATTGAACAACTTCTCTTGTTCCATTTCTTGTAACGAATGTCAACTTTGTTGAGCTAAACTCTCTGAATCCTCTCTCCACCACCACCATCAGACTTATTAGCGGAGCGCGTCAAGAAGCGATGATGGAGCAGCAGGAGCTGGAACGTACTTTCGACCGAGAGCAAGCTTTTAACTGAGTCTATGCTGAGACATCTTAAAGAGCTACCTTGTCTAAAGAGAAATGCTTCTTCCTCTTTATCATGACATTTCAATAAATATGCAACATTTATTTGTCCCTTGCATTATTTAAATGAACAAACGAAAGAAATGAAAATGATGTGAACTGTGTGTAATGATCTAACAGTCAAAAGACCATATCATTACCGTATTTGAAATTATGGAATTCACACAGTCGGCGCAGATCCATGATCAGTAACATCGATCCAGCAGTTCTTCAGCAGCCTGTAGTGCTTCTTTCATTTGTGTGGAAGGCTGCAGGGGTTGTACATTGCTCGCAACGTGCAAAATTGCAGCTAATTCTTGTTTATTGAGTAAAACCCCTCTAAGTACAAGTTGTTTTATCAGCTAGTTGAATAGTTGCATTCACTAACTTTACCAACAATCCAACAATCTTGTTTCTAAGCAATAAACTTTAAAAAGTTGGCACAGTAGGTGTAAGCTAATCAGATAAGGTGCAATGTGATAGGTGATTGCTTTGGGGAACTCCAATCAAACTACCTTAAATTAACAGGCTGCGCAACTGCTGTGAAAGAGATGAGAGTCTACTTAAACGTTCTGCAAAACCTGTGCTGTACACTCATATCTTGTGTGCCGTTAGTTAAGCTGCCAATGTATGCTATCAATATAACACAATCACCAAATAACCAATGGTATACACATTGCAAATGGCTGTCGAAGGGCAACTTTTATGGCTTCATGAGTTATGACCAGGGACAGAAGAACCACTAATGTTTTGTTTTCAATTATTAATTCATCAATAGACAGATACACCCCAGTACATTTTATGGGTAACTGAATATTATGCCACTATTAAAAGCAGACACAAAGATGGACAATGAGGTGCCAAAGGCAAACGTGTAGTCACTACTGTTTGGATGTTTTTGGTAAAGTTTAAACTTTGGGGAAAGTTTACGCATTATACTTACACTTTTTATGAGTGCCTGGGGACTAAATCCAAGGCCAATGCATTGACCATGTGAGAAAACTGCAGCACCCAGAAGAAACCCATATGAGAATCGAGTAATGAAAGACCCAGTTCAAACCGTCACTGTCCTTGCCGAAAGGTAGCAGTGCATAACACTCACTACACAATGTAGGACTAATGTACTTTTTTATTTACCCACACCACAACACGAACAAAATAGGGACCTAGGTAAATGGATACAGCACTGTTGTGAATGAACACCAAACAGACTTTTGCCTTTGTCCTCTAATCCAGGGGTCCCCAACCTTGCTGCCTCAAGGAGTGATTTCACGTTAGACAATATTTCCAGGACCTGCCTTGAAGGTGTGGCAGATAAACACAAAAAAATAACCCTGCCACAGAGGGGGTTGGAAGCTGGAGCAGTTGCGGACTGGGGCAAGGAGTGGGCAATTGTAAATGTTAAAAAAAAGCTGGGTAATGCTTGGGAAATATGTCCAGAGGGACCAGCACACGTTATTAGGAGAGAATCTGGTCAATTTTCGAATTAAAATGACAAAATATATTTTATTTTTCTTTCTGTGGTGCAGCCCAGTAACAAATGGCCCACGGACAGGTTTTGGTGGTTGGGGACCCCTGCTCTAATCAACCACCAGTAGATGTTGTGGTGCGCACCTCACCTGCTGTCAAACGAATAACATCAAATGATCCATTTTTTTTAACCCTTTCATGGCAACATATTGTTTGTATTAATGGTTAATAATCCAATTTAAATTTAAGCCGGTTACTGCTTCCCTCAACATGTGAAGGATTACTCACTGACACATAATGTGCTGATCTTATGTTGTGTGTTAGACAGAGCCAACAAAGTTCTGGTGTGTGTTCTGGATGAAACTTTTCATCAGCCTCAATGTGTTGATGGCTGATAAATGTTCTTGCACAGTAAAAGTGACTTGACATCTGATAAGATCTGCGCACTTACCCATCCAGCTAGCTTGTTATGTTGGAGTATTTTAACAGTCGTGAGAATGTTGACCATTTCCCACGCTAGGGTTTTTCAATGCCTCGCTCATACCCGATTACACAACTTTTTGTTTTGTTTTATAAACAAAGAGGTTTCAAAAGGTCTCCCTTGAAATTAATTTAAATTAAACTTCCCTGGTTAAATAAAGGTCTCCTCAGAACTTGCAGATTCAGCGGGAGAGTCCACCACTGGGTGGGTGGAGGGTTTCCTCTGTCTTGGGGGAAAGACCCTCATTGTCCGAGCTTGAGCTCTGAGCTCAAGCTCCTTGTGGCTGCCGGGTTGATGATCCTCTCAATCGCAAAAGGCCCAATGAACCTTTGCCCCACCTTCTTGAACTCCACCCGCAAGGGTAGGTCGCAGGTTGACGGCCGCACCCGCTGACCCACCCGGTAGATGGGGATGGGCGTGCTGTGTTTGTTAGCCGCTGTTGAGTAGCGTGCAGCAGACTGGAGCAGGGTAGCTTGGGCCCTTTCCCCAGTCTGGCGGCAGCGGCAGACAAATGTCTGGACCGAGAGGGCAGGAAACCTTCTCCAATGCAGCTGCGACTTATAGGTACACTGAAATGTTGACATGCCTCTGGCAGAGCTTGTCAGGGTGTTATGCACGTACTAGACCCACATCAACTGACAGGACGAAACGGCAGGGTTCTGACAAAACATGCAACAAAGAGTTGTTTCCATCTCCCGATTCTTCCTCTCCATCTGACCGTTGGATTAGGGGTGAAATCCAGAGGACAGGCCAAGAGGAAAACATGCTGGCAAATGAGTTCAGCAGTTTCCTTCCCCGAAGGAATCTTGGGTATGGGAACGAAATGAGCCATCTTGCTGAATCAGTCGATCACTGTCAGAATGGCCCTCAGATGGAGGGGTAGTCTGGTGACGAAGTCCAGAGAGATGTGAGACTATGGACGATGAGGTAGAGGGAGAGGCTGCAGGAGACCGGCCGGAAACTGGTGAAAAGGTTTGTTTTGGTGGCACACTGGGCAGGCTTTGACGAATTCACTGGTGGCCTTGTTCAACGAGAGCAGGAGGCAGCTATGGATGAGGAGCCAGAGGAAGTTTCCTCCTCCTCCCCTCCTGAACTCGATCGTTGCGAACAGGTCTTGTGATCCGATGATGTTCATGTTCTGGCCGGATCACATTGTAACTGTGAGATACCGACCAAGATGCAGTACGACGGACAGCAACTGTAGTTTCAATCAGGTTTGTTTCTTTTTTTGTCAACACAGACAAACAGTTTAAAGGGACTTTGGGAAAGACGTGGTCTGAAGGCAGAAGGCTGGGTGAATTACCGGGGGTGCGAGGTAGTCCAGGACAGGCAGGGTTAGAAAACAGGGAATCAGCACAAAAAAAAGTGCTGGAAGGTCTGGCCTGAATGCGGAGAACAATCTGACAGCGAGTGAGTGGTTTGAATACCGAAGGGAGTGAGTGGACCGGTAAGTGTGATTGGGCTGTGACTAGCAGGTTCACAGAATTAATTGATTAGGTGGAGTGAGAGGTGGGAAAAACTAAAAGTTTGGAAGTAAATATTCAATGTCCCTTCTACTTAATACAAATTGGCAATTAATACATTTAGTGACTGTTGCTGCTGCTATAAAGTTGGATGGATTAATGAAGTTGATGCAGGTCATGCAGCAGATTACACCACAGTAAGGTTTGTTCAGTTCACATAGTCACACAGATGAAAGAGGAATCTTGAGTCAGACCACTTAGTCAACAGTTGAGTAATTTGTTAGATAAGAAACCGAAATTGCATAACAGAAGTCCGTCCCGCGTGTCGGGTGTCGGGTATAAAATTTCAGATCAGTATTAGATGCAACAGCCGACCTTGCTCTCACTGAAAGAACCATTTAGACTCCATCAGCGGGAAGGTAAAACTCTGATATTTTATATAAATTTTACTTAATTGCAGCAAATTTTGAGGGAATTTTTTCCTAACAAAATTAGGAAATGTGTAGATTCAAACGAAGAAACATTTAAACTTTGTTAACCCCCAAAATGCCATGGTAAAATAGAATGTACAATGTAAACTACTGAACACAGCAAAATATGATCAAGTATAGGCAAATTAATTATATAGTGGTACACAATGAAATGAAATTATTGTTATCATGTTTTAAAGTTGACAGTCATTTTTTTTTTTTTTTAGGATGAAGTACGTTACGATCTTCCTCGTGTTGTCACTGGTCGTCCTCATGGCCGATCCCGGGGATTGTTTTTTTAAAAACATATGGAGAGGGGCCAAAGCCATATTCAAAGGAGCCAGGCGAGGGTGGAAAGGTGAATCATGAGTTTGTTTGCATGCATAACTTGTTGTATTACAACTAAATGAATGCATGAGTATCAGATTCTCAAGAGACTGAACTGATCAGCTATCAATAGCTAAACTTTGTTCTTGGATTAACTGATTCTTACATGTATTTAGTATTTCTCAACTGTATTAGCTGCAAATTGCTAAATCTAACCCTGAGTGAAGAGAGCGTCAAAAAATTAATCATTTAAAAAAGTTAATTTCAATCTTTTTTCTGTTTAGAACACAGAGCCATTGCGAGGAACCACAGAGGGCAGGAGCAACAAGGACAGCAAGCCGACAACGATGAAGGTCAGCCATATTGGCAGGACTGAATCAGTTGACCCCGAAGACATCGGGCTTTAGCTTTCTACTTTGCACGGCAAGAAGCAAACAAACGGGTAGTCCGAGAAATCTGTAATGAGAATTGATTTTGACTCTGGTGCAAATAGTTTTTAAACAAGCCAAATAATGCCGAATAATATAATGCCTGTCCCGCTGAATAAAGCTGTAATGCATCTCTGCTGTGTGATTTTCTTGAAGTAAATAAGTTCCTGTAATTGTGTACCAACATTGTCATTGGTGACAATATTATGATGGCAGAAGGTACGGTAGAAAAAATAATTACACTGTCCTCTCAGCAATGACTGTTCACGATTAGTTCAAGAATGGGGGCAAATAACATCATATGTATGGACTAGTGATATGATACACCAGCTGTTAATAATCTAGTCAATAAAACATCAAGTCATAAAAATGTGTATCACAATTAACTAGCTTTATTTAGTAGCAGTCCGCTAGCCAAATACATGAAATGTAATATCATGTACAAAACGCTGGAACTGTCATATATTTGGCATTTTCTTTTTAAAGATTGAAAGTTCATGACAATTTATACACAATGTCTAGTTGTTTTGTTGCAAAGACATTAGCACATGAATTAGCTGCCATTTTGTTGTCCTTCCAACATCATTAAAGGGGACATATTCCATATTCCATAAACCCCCCCCAACAGGCCGAAGCCCTCCACTTCGTTCTTGCAAACTTCGGAAAAACTAGCTAAACTAGCAGTCTGCACAGATTCGCAGAATTCTCACCCTGTGATGTTTCAGACAGAAGGTGAATAAAAGGATTTTCACACAGACAATACGAGAAAAATGATATGCTTTTTTTTACATCAAAGCGTGTGAACATGTGAAGGTGGAAACTCTAAATACAAGTATGGGTCTTGAAATTAGCAAAATATGTGTCCTTTAAAACGTGGATGGAGATCAGACATTTTATTTCAACCAAAAATCAGCTCTTACATGAATTGAGGATGTGATCTTAATGATGGTTAATCTTTTGCATGCTGAACTTGCTGGTTTAGCCTCAGAGAGAGGAGTTGGGCTGAGGTGTCAAAGATAGGGATGATTGATCTCTCTCACAGTCGCCTGAAAACCACACAAAGGGCATCACACAGCAGCCCTGAAAACTACCCCCCCACCTCCCCTCCCAGAATAAAACAAGCACACGCTAACCAACAAGCAAAGTTTGTTTTGGCCTGATGGGGCTTCGCTTAAAACACATCGATTGGAAATGAGATGTGGTCAGAGGACGGATGAGGTTAAAAAGGTGTGTGTGTGTGTGTGTGTGTGTGAGTGTGAGTCTGAGGGTCAACAGTGTCACTGGCAGTGGTTGTTTACCTAGAGGCGATTGCTGGCCTCTCACACGCGAGCTCTACCCAGACAGAGATGATAAATAATAGAAGAGCTATGACAGAGGGCAGACTCACACAAACACAGATGAGCATCAAGGTTAGAGGTGGCCGTGGGTGTAATGGGAGAGCTCCGTGTCAGAGCGGGGGAGAGCGGGGGGGACAATCACGTGGTCGGCGCGAATCGTGACATCTGCATATCAAATGGAAGGAAGGTGTGTTTGTCTCCACGACAGTTTTGTCAATATGATTTCAGCCGCATCAGAGTGTCAGGTGACTCTGCCTCACTTCCTCACATTACAGATTTTGGCCATTCAGTGGATAAAGATCAGGTGTAACAATAACCACGATGTGGTTTTGGGAAACCCTGGAAAAGCTTGAACTATCAGTGTCTGAGTATTTCAAGAAAGATGGGACAATTTTTTTAATTGTTTGATATTTGAACCTTTTAAAATTCATGAATTCAGACAATAACCCACATATTAATCAATCATTTAGGAATGATGTACAGCACGTGCAGACCATTATTACATTCATCAAAGAGCAGCATTCAAATTTCAAAATTTCAAAATAGTTTCAATTCAAAGTGAGACATATCAGGGGAAAAAAACCTGTGTGTTGACAGTAAAATGAAATGTTTTTAATATATTAATTCATGATCTAAGGTGGCCTCTTATTAATTAAACAGACTCTTCATCTGAACAGACAGATGTGGTATGGGAGAGGAGGGAAAACGAGTGTTGGAGTAATCAGGATCACAGTCTACATGGTCTCGGTGTGTGTGCGTGTGTGTGTGTGTGTGTGTGTGTGTGTGTGCATGAGTCGCTGGTATGCACTGATTAATATGGTGGATTTCACCAATCATTCAAACAATTACTTTAAAAAAGCTTTAAAAATCGTTTTCTCGCCACATAATTGACTATGCAGTTGTAGTGTACGGGTCTTTTTAAGTATTTTATTCATTTATTATTATTATATATTATTTAGTGTCATGGATGACATATACTGTAAATTGATTCAATTCTTAATGACTGTCCACTATAACTGCGGTGTAATACCGGGGGGGGGTCCTGAGACCTTGAAAGGACACCGTGGTTGTGAACGAATTTACACAGCATACATATTTATTACTTTTAGACGGAAAACCAAAAAATAAAGATTTGGACAAGGAGTCAGAAATGTCGATTTTGAGAGATTTAGCAAAAATTGATATACACAACTTAGCTATCGTGATATGTTGACTCTTTTTCCTGTTTTGGATTACTATCTTTCAGACAAACGAGCCTTTTGAAATTGTTGTTGAACATTTAGATGAAGACATGTATATGAACACAAAATGAATAATTGTTACACCCCTTATAAGCAAAAGAATAGACAGGCCAAGACACACATGCAAGAGTCAGCATCGGTTCAAACTGACCGCAAACATCAACATTATACCTTAGTAACAGGAATCTTGGCTTTCCCTTCGCTAAAGTGGTCCAGCTTGATAAAGTGCCCGAGCGATGCAAGAGAGACACACTGAGCACGCAGACAGAACAAGACTCACTTCTTTTCGTCTGTCAATCAACCAAATCCTGACAGAGGAATAGCTGTGATCCCAGTGATCTTATTACAAACCTCCTCGCATGCGGGAAACCCAACAGGCCAGAATCTTTAATCCAAAGCTGTTACAATGAGAGGGAGTCACAGATGGGGGTTAAGGCCTGCTGCACCACACCGCAGGATTAAAGCTATGAAGCGTGGCAATAAAGGTGACCGCCTCCTTGTTAGATAGAAACAATCTCACACAGGGATTAATTCCGCTCAGAGGGATGATATATGCTGCGTTTCTACTGTACTTTCCGAGTTTGATGACTAATTGAGCGGCAAAAAGTTACGGTGGTCTATTTGAGTCCAGTGTAAAGAGAAAATTTACAATACACATTTAGGGATTCATTTTACCACTTTGTCTGTATGTAGATTTGCCTTTAATTCACAATGTTAGCAATAGATAATGCCTTATTTGCATTTTTAAACATTAAACGTCTGAACATGTGTCAATAACAATTGCCTTGAAAAAGTTTGTCTGGCGCAGGGGGTAGAGCGGTTGCGCTGCGAACCGCAAGGTTGGTGGTTCGAGTCCTGGCTGCCCCATGTCTCAAGTCGAAGTGTCCCTGAGCAAGACAACCAACCCTAATTGCTCCCTGGGCAAAATGTAAAAACCATGGGTTTAAAGTGTAATGTAAGTTGCTTTGGGTAAAAGCGTCTGCTAAATGACCTGTAGTGTAATGTTAGTTTTGACACATTTGTCTTCAAAATGCTGTTTAAAGAAAAGAAAATCCTTCTACTCTGTTCCAGAAATATTCAGTTTAGTATGATTCCTATCTTTATTTCAAGGTTTTTAGATTGCTTGGATCATATGCCAAAGCCTGATTTGATAATTGATCATTGTTTCAAGCAATTGATTATTGCTAAAATATGTTATGATATGGTGGTTGACAGTATTTTGACAACAAGAGCATGCATGCATTTACAGAGCCGTCAAAGACAGCATTTCCAAACTTTTTATATTACTTTTATTTATATGTGAAAAACAAAAATGCTACAGCAATAATCTGTAGCAATAATTTTGACCATGCAGGATATATAACTTCACTAGAAATCACTATAAACTGTTTAATGCAGTTAAAATGTCCTACCCCCCCTATTCACCTTTATTGTTTCCAATTGACACTAGAGGGGAGGATTTTAATGGCAAGTTCAAATATAGGAAGATAACCTTTCCCTACAATATATAAAAATCAATTGTAGAGAGATTGTAGAGATTATTAGACTGAAACCCTGCAGAAATCATGGGGCTCTCACACTTTGCACAAAACAACGTTTTTTTTAAGCCTCCAATTCTCTAAGTAAAAGTAGCAGCATGGAAATATTCTATTTTCAACTGATTAAAGGCATCTGTTTAGGAGTAATGCAATGATATGATTATGGATGCGTTCATGTGTATAAGCATCAGTGTAATGTTGCAGCTGGCGAGCGTGCGGCTAATTGTTAGTGGTCTGTGATCAGTAATGATACATTATTATTTATTTGGATATTTTTTCTTCTCTCACTAATCTGTAAAGTAGCCAAAGCTGTAGACAGAGTGCATCCTCTGGGTCTGATAAATGAAGCCACTGCGGATGTATCTTAAACGTGTATTATTTCAAATGACCAGCCGGGAACAACTGCTCGGCCAGAAAGTGTAGTTTTATTGAATATAACTACTTCTCACTTGATTTATTACCTCAGTAAGAAGAGTTTATGGTCTCAATTCCTACTGTCAAGTATTTATAAATACATTAGAACGTTATTTAGTAGATTATGGTTCCATTTAAAGTCAAAATAAAGAACTGTATTTTAGGACGTGGCCACTCTTTGACAGATGGCTTTTCATCTTACGTTAATTGTAACATTGTGGTTACATAAATGCTTTTTTAAAATTTTGCTCTGAGTGGTTTCTTGAGGAGAAATAAGCATGTTATTGGGGAGTAAAAAGTACAATATGTGTTACTGTATGTAGGAATATTTACATTTTCCATTTAGCTGACAATTTTATCCAAAGCGACTTAGAATGACAGCAGTCAACCAAGAGGGTTCAGACCCATAACAATAAGAATTGAGAAAATACAGCCAAACTACAAAGTGCTTTGCAATAAATAAAGTGCTATTCATATTCAAATTCAAAGATTTTATTGTCAAATACACACAGCCTGTGTATTGAAATTCTTATGCTTGGCTTTTCTGGAAAGCCGACCAATTTTAAAATTAAAATAAAAATACGATATTTACATAAATGTACATG